TTCAGGTGAGTAAATGTGTTTTCCTTGCCGCCATGTTCACTTCTTCTTTGCCTTCATCTCCCCGCCCACGTCTTTACTCTTCTTCGATTTTGTGTTGATGTCACCATTACCTTTCTTAGTCTCCGCCCGTTCCCCTCTTCAGATAGCACAATCTGACGTCCCACTCTTCTACCTCGAATCTAACGTGGCCTTCCTCGCTAGGCCCGACCGCTTTCTGGCATTGAGTTAAAGTCACCGTGCCTTATGTCGTCAGATCGCCCACGAAAGTAGGCTAGCAACCCTCTGCCCTCTGAATGCACCTGGTCCCTTCTGCGAGTTTCGTACGAGAGATAAGGGAAGGGAAACAAAAGCGAGATGAGTAAAGGAAATGGTACCGTTATCTGCGGGCATACTCAGACTCGCTTCTCCCTATTTGTGCCCTGCCACAACACCAACACGCCTACCTACAACAGTACCGCCAACATTCGACTTAAACATCTCACGACCGTATTTGTGGCCGCGCTTGCAGGGCCGTGTGAATCTTCTCTATGCCACCCAACTCTTAGCGGGTGTACCGAAGGACGAAGTCCCAGGCACTGCCTTGGGACATCATCATTACACTGACCAGCCCTAATGAAATCGGGATATTTAGTTTTACTCACCAAGCTCCATTATCTAGATTCAAACTCAGGTTTGTTATTTCAACAGTTCGTGGGTGTACCAACTGAGCTAAGCCCATTGGTCCCACCGTGGTGCTTGGCACCAATACTGCATCCCGAAAACGGGACCGGTACCAAATAAACTAAAATAAAAATAACAATAATAAAAATAGAAGGGGAAAACAGCCCCTAGGGGGATGAGGGAATTGTTGGCATTGCCCCAGTCCCACCGATCGGGCCCGTGGTCGGGACCGGCAATAAAACCAAGGGGGATAGTCTTGCCGGACCTTCAACCTCTTGGTTTCCTTCAAGCTGCTCCTTCGCTCCTGGATCGCCACCCGGTGGCCTCGATCCCTATATCTGCTGCGTGAAAGTCCAACATTGGAACCAATGGCCCAAGGCCCAAGGCTGACACAAGTAACTGCACATGAATGGGTACCATGTCATGCGTGAGTCTACTGAAATTCCCCTGGCCACACCTTGGCCCATTGGCCGACCCCACGGTCGCCGAACCTTGGCACTTGTCACACAAAGGGGCCTGGTGCCGCTCATAGCCGTCGTACACGCCATCCATCACGCCAAAACCACGCCCTTGACATTTCAGTGGCGAAAGTTCAAACTCTTATCTAGGCTAACTTCGTTTGCGCATGCCCTCGTCGAGACGGCGAAAGAACTCTCAGTGGTCGTCGAACGCAATGAAATGCCCCATTGAACCTCGTGCTACGCGGGCCCCAAAGTCGCTTCAAAAAAAAACAAAGATAAACATTTCAAAAAAATATTGCGGCACCAGCGGTCAACCTGATGCTGGCAATGGGAATGTCGCCTTCACACGCGCACACGCGCGTCGCGGTCAAAGATACCGACCAATGGAAAAAAATTACGTAATCCTAGTTTAATCAAAAACAAAAGTTGGCCGGCAACTGTGCCGACCTTACAATCATCAACAAGAAAAAAAGATCACACGCGCCTTCAAAGCTGCGCCCCCACACACTCCCTATTCTTCCTCTGGACACACAGCTGGTCACACAAAAGAAAACTGGCTGCGGCTCGTGTGGGGCACCCAACTTTCGCTCCCAATTTTCGAAACAAAAACTTATTTTTCTGTCATTTGCAAAAAACAGGGCGGATACCCTTGTAAGGGTATTCGCACCGCCACCGCCACTTCTCCCTTCCTCCTCCACGCCGCTTCTCCCTTCCTCCTCCGCGCCGCTTCTCTCTTCATCTCCGCTGCTTCTCCCCCTCTCCCCCGCCGCTC